CTGAGTCTAAACCTGTTTCCATAACGGGGGAAAAAACCCAATAAAGGTAATTGCGACTTTTTATTTCACAATTCTGATTTTTTTTCTTGCAATTCTGAAAAAAAATTCAATTCTGTCTTTCTTGCAATTCTGAGTTTAAATTTCACAGTTATAATTTTTTTTGTTTACATCTTTCATTTTTCTTTGTTTTTTTTCCGCCACAAAATAAAATAAAGGTAACTGTGATTTTTTTTATCGCCAAATTCGGACTTTTCCCCTCACAATTCTGAGTTTATATATCACAATTCAGACTTTGCACTTCTGAGAAAAAAATCTATCAACTCGGAATCCTGACTTTTTTCTTGCAATTCTGTTTTTTGTTTCCACCACAAAATAAAAAAGATAATTAAAAAAAGGTATCTCTCGCAATTCTGAGTTTATATTTATATTTTTATCTAACAATTTGGAATTTTTTAAAAAACTTTTTATAGAAAAAAAGTCAGAATTGCAAGGAAAAAATGTCTGAATTGTGAATAAAATATCACAATTACCTTTTTTTTATTTTGATGTCCTGCGGCAGAATCCAGCTTCCATAGATATCTGCCCATATAGTATTATAAAAACAAAACAAACTATGATTGGCTGCTTTACATGTCAGTCAGACAGTCTATTCCTGTATAATTAGGCGGTTATAAGCTGCAGTGTTATCCAAACTTTATGTATAAAAACTTTTTATAGAAAAAAAGTCAGAATTGCAAGGAAAAAATGTCTGAATTGTGAATAAAATGTCACAATTACCTTTTTTTTATTTTGATGTCCTGCGGCAGAATCCAGCTTCCATAGATATCTGCCCATATAGTATTATAAAAACAAAACAAACTATGATTGGCTGCTTTACATGTCAGTCAGACAGTCTATTCCTGTATAATTAGGCGGTTATAAGCTGCAGTGTTATCCAAACTTTATGTAGATAAACGTCTGGCTCTGTGACAGATGCACTAAACTCTACAGACATCTAGATACCTAGATCTCACACACGAAACATGCAGATGATATTAAGCAGTTCCTCTGCAGGCTGATCTGTAATAACCTCCCAGCAGCAGGCTAAACCCTCCTGAGCGGGACGGATGGGGCTTTTGTCTGGGGTGTTGGAGACCCTCTCAGACCCACGGCTGTAGTGTCCGTCAAATGACAGGCCGAGTCAAAATACGGCTCTTTCGTCAGGATAATCTGCTGTCTTTGGGCTCCTGCCTGCTTTTGTAGTGAGTCAGTAGAGGTCACTGCTGAAGAAAAGAGAGTAACATTAGTTTAACAAACAATAATAGAATCACATCTGTTCACAGCTGCAGAAAGATGATATTTGTATGCATTGTTTCTTACAGGAACCTGAAGTGTCTCTGGCTGCGCTGCAGGACCTCATTGGCTCTCGCTGTCTGCCAACCTGTTTTTCACCAGATGGTCCGGCTGCCAGAAAGTAGGTTACATAAAAAGAAGAACACAAAAGGAAGTAGGAAACAGACACACAGCTGATTCACAAATCACAAAGGTGATACAGAGAATGTCACTGTAAAAAAAAAAAAAAAAAAACAATTTTGTAAATAATTTTGAACAGGGTTTTAAATTTGATATAAGAACATTATAAACAATTTAGCAAGTTGCTTTTTTTAAATATCTGTATCTGAGATATAAAGGTTTTAAAATGAATTAGTTGATTTGCAATTTCAAATCTTTTTTTAACATATTAAAAAAATGCAAATACAGAAAAATATTGAGAGCTGACCCAAGTAGCTGAAGTTTAAAGTTAAAATAAAATCGATATTGACCCTATTATAATTCATATTCATGTCTTATTGTGCTTCTTTGTTACTTTGACTTTCACATAAACACTGTTAAATATACTGTATACATATAATTCCTTTGGAATTGAATAAATAAAACAAAGATTATTAAAGAGTATGCTTTACAGGAAAATACTATTGCTTACACAATTTCATGTTTAATTCACTTATTTACTAGCAATTTTGGAGTGAAAATTTTCCAGTGCAGTGCCAATTATAATATATTTTGCCGCAGTAGTAAAGAAAATTGCAGTCAAATAGCTTGTTATTTTGTACTGTTCAGGATTAAATCTGTATACTTCTGCTATGTGAAAATGACCTGACTACATAAACTGCGACAGATTCATTGTGTGCTTATTGTTTAGACGTGTTACTAAATACTTCTTTACGCAAAAGCTTTTATAATCCCGAAGGACTCATATGTTTGTTCAGGGTTTTACTGGTTCGGTGTGTCTAGTCAGTATTTAGGTTGTGGGAACATTGCTTCAGGGTGACAGTATAGCTTTCCATCATTATGTTCTCATACAGATCTCTCTCACACACCGCATCTCATTCATATTATCTACTGTACATAGACCGGAGATGTGCATTAATAAAAAATCACACATTCAACTAGTCTTTGCTGACAGCATGAACATGGAAAGGACAAGTCCACTAGAGTAAACCACTCAATTATCAGAAAGATTTAGCTTTTCTCTATGCTCTGTGAAGTCTTACTGAAATCTCATGGCCTCCTCGTGTGTTTGAAGGTTTTGAAGGTCACGGGGAACTTGAGTAAGTTTCTCAGTGTCTTCACATGAGTTATATAACAGTGTCACATGTACAGATATCTACACATTTCACTCCAGAATCCTGTGGCTGACCATGTTGACTTTTATCAGACACTTTCTGACCCTCAAACGTGGTCGTAATTGTGTTAAGGAAGCTGTTTTCACAGAACTGACACGGTTCATTTTTATATCTATACTGTAGGTCTAGTGAGGTGTTACAGTGTGAAAGCCCTGGTTAGAGAAGCTTCTTGAATCACGATGAATAGATATTAGATGGCTGAGAACCATCAGTTACAGAATGTCTGTCAATTCTGTATTTTTTTTTTATTCATTTATTTATTTATTTATTTTGTTTTTACTAAATTTATAGCAGTTTCTACTAAATTGTAGCTATGATTATGTTCAGAATAGCATACTACTCCTACACTCAAAAAAATGCTGGGTTAAATACAACCCAGTGCTGGGTAAAATAGGGACAAACCCAGCAATTGGGTTGTTTTGACCCAGCTATTGGGTTGTTTTGACCCAGCTATTGGGTTGTTTTGACCCAGTATTCTAATTCTGATGACTATTACTATGAATCATTATAATTATTTATTAATCGTTCTTTTAGATCATTGTCTCACAGCTGTCCAATAACAATAATGATACAAATATTTGAATACAAAATGGAAACAATTCATGGTTCTCAGCCATTCATGATCTTTTCCGAGGCCTAATTCTGTCAGAGAACCCTGCAGAATAAAAGAGGTTATAATGTGGGTGAATCCTAATGTTTCTCCATAGAGGAACAGAACAGCATTGACAGTCTTTATATGTACATTTTGTTGTTGACTGACACATGTGTTCCTGTAGGTCCTGTAATACAGATTCATTTTCCTGGGAATGCTCGTCTTTCCCAGAACCTCCTCTTTTTCTAATATTGCTTCCTCTTTCCTTTTCTTACTTTGTTGTGTGGTTTTTTTCGTATTATTCTCTTACTCCTGGTTATTATCCATCAGGTTTCTATGCTGTGTTTGTTATTTTGCTCTTCTTCTGTTGTTTTTGGGAACACCTTAATCTTATGACTTATTTACTTAATTATGTGATTTTTTTGTGTGTGCCAAATGAATAGTTTGCAAAAAAAAATAAAAAAAATTCTTATTGTGCAGGATATTCACTTCATCTCTACTTTACTATGAAAACTGAAATCTAATGCTCTGGCATCATAATCAACAATAAACACAATAAACAATAAGACTTCTAAAACATTTTTTATTGGTAACACTTTACAATAAGGTCTCATTTTTTAACAGTATGCATTAACTAACATGAACTAACAATGAAAAATATATTTTTACAGCATTTATTAACCTTTGATGGTTAAAAATGTTCATGATCTTGCAGTGCATTAACTAATGAAACCTTATTGTAAAGTGATACCCTTTTATTATGCACCAAAATGTCACTGTTTAGAAAATAAAAAATAATAATAATAGAGATACAGTATTCTGGTGACCAAATTAATTTAAAATATTAGGAATTATAGATTAAAAGGTCAGTGTGGAGAACAAGTCCAAAAAATAGATACATTCTGGTGATCAAATTAATTAAAAATATTAAGGAAAAGTGCAAGCAGAATACTTTCTCTTATACTTATAGCAGAATACTTAGCACTTCAAAAGCTGATTTTTAAATATATATATATATATATATATAATTAAAAGGTCAGTGTGGAGAACAAGCCCAAACAATAAAGAAATTTCTGGTGACCAAATTATTTTAAAATATAAGAAAAATGTGCAAAGTAGAAAATTCCTGATTTTATTATTTTTATAATATATATTTATTATAGATTAAAAAGTCAATGTTGAGAATATGCCACACAAATAAAGATTTCTGGTGACCAAATTAATTTAAAATAAAAAGGGAAAAACGGCAAGATAGAAAATTCTTTTTTTTAAATTCTTTTTTGTACTTTTATAATGCATATTTATTATGGATTAAAAGGTCAAATATTAGGGAAAAGTACAAAGCAGAGCATTTTTTAGAATATATTATTATATTATATATAATATATTAGAATATTAGAATATATTAGAATGTTTGAATACTTTTTAACATATATTTATTATAGATTAAAAGGTCAGTGTATAGAACAAGCCCAAACACAGAGGAAGTTTTGCAGATATCACCTTTTAACACTTTTAAAAATCAGGTAAGTTACACTAAATTATAAAATATTGAATTATTATCAGTCCTTTAAAATAGAATAATGTTTTTTTCTTTTAAAAAAATCCCCTAAAATTATTTAACGGTCAAGTAAATAAAATAGGAGTGTTGTACTGTCGCCGGGTGTCCAGCAGCGGTCGCTGTGTCTTCACTGGATCTCTGATGTCCAGCGCCGCAGCCGGACATTGATGTGGTGCTCTGAAGCAACTGGTGCTTAAGACGCGTTTGCATCGACAACAGCACAAACAACGAGTAATATCGCGCTGACGCGGTTTCTCGAGGATTAATGCGAGTTTAAACGCGTCTTTCGGACGTTTCCAGTGGAACTGAGCAATATATGAAGCGCATCTTGAAGTTTTCGTGAGGAGGAAGGTCAGTGTTTATATCCCGCTCGTTTATTCTCTCATTAAAGTCTCTGTGGAGATATTGACACGCGTCTGAGAAGAGACTTTTACTGTAGCATGACACTTACATGTTTTATTTTAGGGACACACGATACATTGTATCATCATTCATCATTGAGTTTGTGTATCATCGCGCTTTTGTATCTTTGTATCATCGCGTTTGTGTCATTGTATCATTGTGGCTGTGTGTTACTGTATCATTGTGTCATTGTGTTTGTGCGTCGTAAACAATCAACCCAATTACATTTACCGCGTTTTCTCTGCAGATTTCTGAGGGACAGAGTGGTTTTGGTGTTTTCTGTGATTCATAGGTGAGATTCAGCATGTATGTTACATTGTCATGTTTAACATGTTTTGTGTGTGTGTGTGTGTGTAAAGGGAAATTAATTGTCAGTTGTCTTGGAATATGCCTTCATGAGGCCAAATATATTTACAGAAAAGTTGTACTGTCTCTTACACACAGCCAGTCAAAAGTTTTGACACACTTGACTGAATTTATTTTTCTCAAAAGCCTTTAATATACAGGTTTATGCTTAAACATTTTAAATAGGTTTATAAACAAATACATTTTGCTGCAAATAATGTATATGCGCAAATAAAAACTCTGTAAGTTGCCATTTGCCTCACATGTTTTGATCACTGTATCATTACCATACTAACATTTGTGTTATTTCATAGACTTTATTATTATTATAAAACTTTACAGGGTGTGTTCAAACTTTTGACTGTCAGAGTTTTTATTGTTTATTTAGCATGTTTAATTTTGCTTGTTCAAACAAGGGCAGTATTGGTGCATTCTTCTTGAAAGTTCGTATTTAGAAGTTGGGAAGTTGTAATTGCAACATCAGGAGCTGTCACGTTGGTCAGAGCAAGATGGAGATGTTTTTCTACAAAAAAACCCCAGTATTTTTTAAATGTCTTATGCAATTTATGAAAAAAAAAAAAAACGTATGCATGTTTTTTATATCAATATTTTTTTTTTTTAAACATTTATAAAATTTTTCATTTTTTTAACATTTTATTTTTTAATTCAATTTATGAAGTAAACTGGATTGTTATATATTCTATCGTAATTGTACAGTACGGTCATATTTTGTACATGCAACTTAGCTAGTTTTATTGTAACTGAAAAATATCTATAATTTTAATAATTGCATCAAATTTACCGTCAATACAGACGCTGCATCTATTTTGTCTGCAATATTTTCTCAATGACATGTCGCAAACTCGGAAATTCGAGACTTAAAGAAAGTTCAGATTTTCCTATTTGTAATTCTGACTTTGTGATGACGTTAATGTAGGGTGACCATAAGTCCTTTTTCCTGGATATGTCCATGCTGGGATTTCTAAATATCCTATAATGTCCAGGTTTGGGCTTGGTTTTCGTTTTGTTTTCACATTTGGTGAAGGTAATGACGTCATGCGAGAAGGCGGAATCTAGAGAGAACGATCAAAGCAATGCAAATTCACATGCATATAATGAGGACTGTAGAGAGACCGTCTATAGGAAAACAAAGCCACAACCCTAAAAATGTTGAAATCCTGTCTGGGAAAAAAACAGCGTATGGTCATTCTAGGTCATGTGCGTAAATACAATCTTTCTGACTTCTTGACTTGAATGCACCAAATTTCCTGAGCTCTTCAGTGACTGATTGCATTGTGTATCAGTTTGTTTGTAAAGATGGTGCATGTGATCATAACAACAGTGTTGGGGAAGCACATTACACGTAACTTTTTCAAGTAAGTAGTAAAGTAGTGCATTGCTTTTAAATTTACAAGAAAATATCTGAGTTACTTCAAATAAGTAACACGAATTAGGCTACTTTGTTGTCCCATTTATTGCCTGACAGCTCTCCTGTCCCCATGTTGAGAGAAATCAGGAGTAAGTGCAGAGGTGTTGTGCGCGCTGCTGTGTGAACATGATGTTACTGTAGTTCTAGAATAATTGTCAACATGCATTTACTCATCTCACCTGCACAACCTCAAAATAAATAAAAACTGTGAAAAGCACACTCAGAATATGATGCAAACCTGCAATAATTAAATGTTAAATAAAACAAATATCCTTTATGTATCCAATTTTGTTAACCAATGTCTTTGCTGCTGACCTTCGATGATTCAATTCAACCATATTAATTGATCTTATATAAACGTTTGTTTCATTTTTTTATTAGTGAAGAGTATTGAGCTTTCTTCTCCTGCGTTCTATTCTTCATGCAATCCAGAATGGCAGCACAGCTGTATGAACAGCTCTACTACAGACGTGAATTTACATTTCCTTCAGCCTGAGGCAGAAGCTTATTTGTTTCACTTTTGATGCAAAAAGGCTTTTACGTTTGCCAAAAAGAGAACTTTTTATATTAAAAACAAACAAGCAAGCCCAGCCCAGTTAAGAAAAAGTAGCGCAAAATAACATAATGCATTACTTTACATAAAATGTAACAAAGTAACATGATTAATTACTTTTTTAGGGAGTAGCGCAATACTGTAATGCATTACTTTTAAAAATAACTTTCCCCAACACTGCATAACAGCTTTCTGAATCTTTCTGTCGCCATGCTGATAATCATCTTTCATCTCTGCTCTTTTCAGTTGGCATGTTGGATTGTGTGTGCATGCTGTCTGCTGTATAACGTCGTCATATTCATCCCACCTGCATGCTACTTCTGTGTGTCCACCATTAACGCCATCATGGGCGAAAACTGTGATAACCCCCCGATTCTCTCCTCCAAGAAGCGCTGCAGCTGCAAGCGTGATTCCAGCTCCGATCCGTGGCGGGATGTGGAGCGTCTCCGCGCGGCGTTAGAGGTGGAGCGCAGCCGCAACCATCAGGCCCACCGGCGCTTCTCTCTGGAGCTGCGGAGGCAACGGGAGGAGGCGCGCGAGGAGCGGGAGCGAGCGCTGAGGGAGCTGACCTACCGACACGAGCAGCAGAAGACGCTGGAGCTGCTGAGGCAACGGGAAGCTCTGGGCCGGGAGCGTGCGGCAGAGGTTCGGCATCTGTTACGCTGGCGGAGTCAGGAGTTGAAACGTACAGAGAACTTGACGCTCAGGCAGACCCAAGAAGTGCATCGTCAGCTAGCGGATGAGATCGCTGGTAGATCGGCATTTCAAGGTCTCAAACTTGGATGCAAGGGCAACGGGGCGGCGTATCGCAAACTCGAGGAACTCTTAAAGACTCTGCTTGCTCAGTCAGATGGATGGCAGGTCGCTGTCCTTCAGCATCTCCAGCAGGAAGTGGAATTAGAGAAGAGCTACTTCCTGTGCCACCTACTGGAAGCCCATAGCAGGACGTCCCGCGTCGTGAAACGATCCAGACCGAGGTCGAAGAGTTGCGTGCATCTGCTCCCGCAAGGCCAAAACCACCCGGAATCCTGTAAGGAAGGAAAACTCGCTCTATTCCGGTCTCGTTCGCTGGCAGGTCGCTGTCCTTCAGCGTCTCCAGCAGGAAGTGGAATTAGAGAAGAGCTACTTCCTGTGCCACCTACTGGAAGCCCATAGCGGGACGTCCCGCGTCGTGAAACGATCCAGACCGAGGTCGAAGAGTTGCGTGCATCTGCTCCCGCAAGGCCAAAACCACCCGGAATCCTGTAAGGAAGGAAAACTCGCTCTATTCCGGTCTCGTTCGCTATCTCAGACGTCCCGAAGTGATTCTCCTCAACCTATGAAGAAGAAAAAGAAGCAGGATTGCGAAACATCTCCTCTCAGCTCATCTCCAACTGAGGATGGAGATCTTCTAGAGGATTTACCTGAGCCGTGTTCATCTGATGAGGGATTGGAGAAGTGCTCACCATCCAGATGTTCAGAGGACAATATGGATGATCTGGTAAGAACTTTATGGATTTTTGATGTTTTCTTCTTCAGGGTTGCCCTGAATCTATTCAAGTAATCAAGCTGGATTTCATGCATAGTAGGGCTGCACAATTAATCGCAAAGGCGATTAAACGCGATTAGGCAGAAGCTGCGATTGTCATGCGTATCTTTCAGTGAAGCACAGTTCTGTGATCAGTAGTAAATCTCCATCCGAAGGC